AATAGTGTGCCATAGTGCTTGAATATTTTAAAATTGTTTTTTAATCTGTTAAATTGTTCAATTACATCTTAATGAAAACCTTTTGCATTTTATTATCTTTAGTGTATTTGTGTTAACTGGGTTATTCCCAGTTCTGGGAGAAAGGTGGAATATACTACTGTTGCTACCACTGAACATGCCCTTGTCAGTCTTCCCAAATCTTAATCTTAACAGGCCTTAAACTATAATCCTCTCCTCTAGACATTTCCACATCATCATTCATTTGTATTAGCCCTGGTGGCACAGTGGTTAAATGCCTGTACTGCAGCCACTCACTCATAGACCACAAGGTTGTGAGTTCAATACCAGCCAGGGCTGAGGCTTGACTCAGGCCAGCATCCTTCCGAGGTCGCTAAAATGAGTACCCAGATTGTTGGGGGGCAATCAGCTCACAGTTGTAAACCGCTTAGACATCCCATAGTGTGATATGAAGCGGTATATAAATAAGCTGCTTTGCTTTGCTTTGCTTTGTATAATAAACGTTCCTTCCTTCCAAATGCTGACTCAAGATGTTTAGCAAGCTACAAATGGAGCCCCACTCCACCAACAGGGCCGAGGAATTGTTGTCCTGTGCTGCACTATTCACACACCAATTCTTAATTTACTCAAGAAAGTAAGTATGCTCATTTGGATACATATCCATTAATGTGCATTCATACATGCACACACTCCAACTGCATACTTTGCACCTGCCCCACTTTAGGCAAGACAGTCACACTTAAGTTTTTAAAGTTGTTTTTAAAATGACCCGCATATCCAACCTAGTGAGATCAGTGAGGGCTCAGTTAGGTGGTGTCTGCATGGGCCAGAATACTCCAGGAGCAAGCCAGGTTTTCCGGGCTCAGAGGTGTCCCAACATCCCCCCATCACCTGAGGTCCTCCGCTGTAACACCAGGCATCTTTTTGAAAGCACGTCCCACTGTGCCACCCCACCCCGCTGCCATGTATCGCTCCCTGAGGCTGAAAATGAGATGCCCAGCCTTAATCACATAAGTGGGTGCCTTGTTCTGGTCTCAGAGGACAAAACTTGTGGCACCATCAGTGAGTGGCACATGTGAACAGCTGCCCACCATTGATCCAGAGGGCTCTGGAAGAACTGGAGCAAAGTGTAAAGGAGGTTATATGACAGGTTTGATGCTGAACTGACTAGAAGTCATCTAGAGAGTTCTTACCAGAACTGGGGATTGAGCACTGTGTCGTCCAGATTACTTATCCTGAGGTTGGCGGGAGAACATGATATTTGGTCCCCGTGGACATGGCGACTGTCACTTCCCATATCATTAAGGTACTGCCACACAGCATGATCAGTGAACCAGTGAAATGGGAAAGATGGGGAGTGGAGTGGGAGACACAATACTGTACTCAGCCTAGCTGATTTTTCACCCACCATACTAAGTGGCATGCCTCCTTCTTGTCTTTGCTGCTTTCCTCCACCTGGCAAGGCCCTTCTTCCACTGTTCTGCATAGCTGGCACCATTTCAGGCTGCAAGTAGAGTTCAAATGTTCAGACTTCATCCCCACCTCCACACAAAATACTTTTACACAGCTAAAACTATCGTGCCAAGCAGAAATCTACTGCAGTGTTTCCAACATGCTACATTTAAGCATTTAATATGAGGACGGGGAAGCTTCGGGTTCAGCAACAGATGCACTAAATGTAGCTTCTGTTTGTGCAGTTCAATAATAACAGATGTATGAAATTTCTTATATGTGTACAAAATTTAAGCAACTCGGTACAAGGCCTAGCAGTATTCTCATAAACAAAATGTTGTCACTTTGGTCTTGTTCTCACAAACATCAAATGAAATAGAAAACCTGTAGCCAGATTAAAAAACAATTTTAAAATATTCAAGCACTATGGCACACTATTAAGACAGCGTGGTGTAGTGGTTCAAATGTTAGACCACAACTCTGAAGACCAGGGTTTGAATTCCCGCTCAGCCGTGGAAATCCACTGGGTGACCTTGGGCAAGTCACATTCTCTCAGCCTCAGAGGAAAGCAAAGGCAAACCCTCTCTGAATAAATCTTGCAATGAAAAAACTGTGATAGGGTTGCCGTAGAGTCCCCATAAGTTGCAAATGACTTGAGGGCACAGAACAACAAAGCCCCATCAAACTTGGCATGGTTTCCATTCAGCTGTTGAAGAGGGCCAGGTGAAAGGTCACATGTAGCTTAGTGCAATTCTGCAGACCCATGTTGAGCTGAGCATACCTAGCTTATGGTGCTATGGACTTTCTGCTGGTGTTAGGAGATTTATTGCTCAAGGGCATAGATGGAACAAGATGAATCAGGAAGTGTGCTGTCTTTCTAGTGCACTTACCCAGGGTGCTATCCCCGGATATATCCCTGGCGCACTGACAAGTTGCTGAAGCTTATCAAGAACAGCAATCAGTATCCCTTATTTCTGATTCATGTGGGCACCAACAACACTGGAGAAAACACATTTGAGCAGATCAGTCCTGGACTATAAAGCCCTGGGCAGGGAAGTAAAGCATTTAGAGGCAGAGGTGGTATTGTTGCCAGTTCTATCAGGGAAACAGAGAGGAGCACACAGGGCCAGGAAGATACTAAAAGTGAATGATTGGCTATGCAGATGCTTGTCAATGGTTTGGCTTCCAAAACCACCGTTTTCACTCCTTAGACCAGGGGTAGGCAACCTTTCCCTATTAAGGGCCGAGGGACTTCAGCTCACAGAATCTCAGGAGCTATTGGCCAACATGGGACTATTGGCCAACACGGCTGAGGCTTTTGGGAGCTGAAGTCCCTCGACCCTTAAAGGGGAAAGGTTGCCTACCCCTGCCTTAGACAAAGGACTACTGGCTACAGGTGCACTATACCTAACAAAGACCAGGAAGAATGTCTTTTGCAGCTGCATGGCAAATCCGATCACGTGGGCTTTAAACAAAATCTTTGGAGGAAAGGTTGGAGATGATATCTTAAACATCTGTAAAAAAGCAAGCTGTAAACACAAGGATGTAAATTTTTGTGAGAGTTACAAGGTTCCCTCCTTGGACTGGGCGTTTGAGAAATGGAGCAGATTGGGAAAAAGGAGTCTCTGGGCCTAAGCAGACTGCCAGAAATAGTGCACATTAAATTGAGGCACTGCCCTGGCTCAGTGCTAGGGAATCATGGGAACTGTATTTTATTGTGGCACCAGAGCTCTCTGACAGAGAAGGCTCAATGTCTCAGAAAATAATACAATTCCCATGACTCCCTAGCACTGAGCCAGGGCAGTGCCTCAATTTAATGTGCACTATTTCTGGCAGTCTGCTTAGGCCTTGAGTCTTCATATTTGCTTGCAAAAGAGGTGAAGGGGGGGGGGGGAGTCACAGAGTAAAAAAAAATAGATAGGAATCAGAGCCTCCACTTTCAAAGAAACTGGAAGCTGCATGGCTTCTGATAATTCAGACAGAAACAGTGACCCTGCAGCACATGAGATAGGGACCAGCAAGGAAGCGATGGCAGGACCAACAAAGTCCAGATTCAAATGCACCACAAACAGAAAGTGGAAACTGAGTGTACACAAGGAGGTTGTTTGAAGTAACATTATAATCATCACCTTCATCATCCTCATTTCTCATCCACATTTCCTTATGGATCAAGGCGGGGAACAACAAATTAAACATGTAACAGAGTTAAAATGACAAAAGCAGTGAGGCAAGACATAAGTTGTACAGGAGGATTAAACAGGGGTGTATCTATGGGAGGGAATACAGTCATTGTCCCCCAAAGTAAGAATTATGCCCCTTTGGTTGCCAAATTTATAGCATTGTAATAACTTGAAATTTCAGTTGGGCATTTAAAAACACAGTTTAGGCTTCAAAGGGGCAGGCAAACTTTCCAAGGGAATGAAAACACAGCAAACATAAAAGATCTAGGTCTGAACCTGGAATCTCAACTGGAAAGTAAGTACTTTATTGACACCTGGAAGGCTATAGGTTCTCTACCTCTGCTGTCAAGTCAAATGCATCGGAGACACATATATGTCCAAGATGGCACTTCTATCATTGAGAGAAGACTGATCCCACTTTACAGCTAAGAAAGACCAAGACATAAGTGACAAGACAGAAAGACCCACCAGTGAATTCATGGCAACAAAGTCTTGAGCAGAAACAACCAGTGAAAATAAAAAGCGTGTCAGTGGGCTGATGTGTTTCTTACCACCAAAAAGTGCAGATTTATTACACACATTTAGAAATGTAAAGCAGAAAGGAATGAAGCAACATAATCAACAGAGGAAAAATATAAAAGATTGATAGAGTAAGATTCAAAATATTCCTCATATCGAGACAACTAAGAGACCAATGGTAGAAGTGATATTTCAGAACCCTGGGGGGGAATGAAGAAAATGTCTTCTCACATACTTAGGTTCAAACTGAAAAGAAAGGTTTAGATGGTATTGGGTTCAAACCAAGTAATATATCTTCAGAAGCCAGGCTTCTCTAAATCTGCCTGCCAGATTCACCATGTGATGTCCCCCATGGTGCCTCCAGCCAGCTGCAGAGTGATTCCCTCTCCTTCCCAGTTCCCAGAACTCAAAGTTGGGAGAAAGACTGGGTCATTATCTGGCCTCTGCATGGATAAAGGCATGGGAGGTTTGCATTGAGCTCTGCTGCCTGGAAGAGCACAGCACATCTTTAGAATGCCAAACCCAAAAGGGCTCTGCCTTTTCCCCTGTTTCACCTTTGAATCTTATCACATGGAGGCAAATTGCTTAAATCTTGTGCAGAAACTTGATTTAAAAATCACCTCCCCCCCCCCACAAAAGCAGGTTATTTTTCAGACGTATTTATGTAAAGGAGAAATAACGCAACATCAACCTAAACACAAAGTCGCCAAAACCTGCTCCTTTTTACTTTCGGAAGATCCCGAAAGTAAAAAGGAGAGGGTTTTGTCAGCTTTCCGTGTGGGTTATTTCTGCATTATTTCTCTTTCATGCAGACATTGTCTGAAAAACAACCGCAACTGCAGGTTTTGTCTACTTTCTGTTCAGGTTAACCCTGAACGTTGTAGATTATTTTCACTTTAAATCTAGTTTCTGCACAGGATCCGTCTTGTGTGATAAACTCCTTTCTTTAAGAGTTTGTCTGATGAGTTATGTGACATGGTGCTGAAACTGACCAATATTATCAGAACAAGGGAAGGGCATGCTGCTACAAAGGTTCGATTGGAAAATGAATTGTTTTTGTCATGTTTTGCAAGAAAAGACACTAGATTAAAACATATGTACACACACAGAAAGAGAGAGAGAAAGCTTTGAAAGAAATAGCAAAAAAAAAAAAAGAAATATGTATGACTATTACTTGTGATTTTATGTTTATTTTGAAGATTAAATTAATCTTAAGAAACACAAATGAAAAATAGAACTGACAGAATGACAACACAATCCACATTTAGACTGGAATTCCAGCATCCTGTGTTTAAAGATCAGGCACTGACCTGTCCACCCCCACTGGCAGCAAATTATAATCAGAGAACATACATCTTCTCTTCCCTTCTGTTAACTTCCTTTCAAGAACTTGTCACCAGAAAAGATTCTTTTTCATAAGTCTCCCCCATCCCTCACTTTCTTCTAACTAGGCAAGTTCTTGCATTTTCTCCCCATTCCTGACTTAATTTCTGTCCGTTTATGATTTAATCACAAGAGCTCAGCCTGAAGCCTATTTTTAATATCAAGACTTATAATATGGAAATAAAAGTATTTTTGAGAGCCAGAGTGGTGTAGTGTTTTGAGTGTTCGACTCTGGAGACCAGAGTTTTATTCCCAGCTTGGCCATGAAACCCACAGGGTTACCTGAGCTAGTCACACTCTCTCAGCCTCAAGAGAAGTCAATGACAAATCTCCTCTGAACAATTCTTGGCAAGAAAACCTCATGATAGGGCTAAGTCAGAAACAACTTGAGCAGGGGTAGGCAACCTT